CATGCCTGTGGCCTTCGTGCACAGGTGAACTGTCTGAAATAATAAATAGAGTTTTAGTATTTCTAATGAACACATGAAAGGTTGTGTTGGCATACAGATAATGTGAAATCTTTGTCTGATGCTTTACCATTTGTCAACACAGTAAATTGTAAGGATAAAGAGACAGGTGTTTTGCCTCAAAACCTTTTCAGCAATAATGGAATGATTCAGCCATAGAAAGAAGGAGAGCACATGCAAAAGTAAACCACGTTTAGCCACAAGTGTTTGCTGAGCTTATGTTTGGGCATAGTCAGTTAAAATATGATGTTGCATCTGCTGAAACAGATACTATGCTCAGCAAGAAGAGTCTTTCATTTGTCCTGTGGATGTACTTTCTCTGGAGTCAATTTACGTAAGCAGGATAGGTTAGGCGTCGTTCTTGTTTGTTTTAGTGGATTAAGTGCTTTTATCCTATTTGATGGTGTTAGATCAGTTTACCTGTACATTTCTGTCACTGTCTAAAATGTCAAAGCATTTCATTATGACCATTTGATCAGACTGAAAACAGTTCATACTTAACCAAATGGTAGATAAACAAACTGCTAAAAGAAATGACCATAAAATTAAAGAGAAATAAACTATATAATTACTTTTTTTGGACTTACTAAATATAAATTAAAGTACTGCCCAGCACAAATTCAACATATGATCTAGTCCACCTGTTAGGTTTCATTATCAGCTCTGATGATAGTGGGTCCTGATGAATGAATGTTTCTTGTTGACATAGCTCTTTATGAAGATTGCATGAATGTTTGAATAACCACTTTAAAGAGATAAATGAAAAATGTCTGTCAAGGGATTATTGCTATGAAAGATTATATTGCACAGAGCTTTTTCTTTCTCTCTTCACAAACTGATAGATGGCTTTACTCAAATAAGTTATTGCTGTCATGGCAAAAGGAAAGTACAGTCTGTTAGTTCCAAGGTTTCAGTGTATAAATAATCTTGCCTTTACACAGTTTTAAGCTAATCTAAATCCAACATCAAGGCTCCCAAGCAATGCAGATTTAAAAATCCACAATATGTCAATAAATCCTAAAAAGTATCATTGCAATAACGTTATAAGACAAATGATCAAAAGCTTAAAAACTACTAATGGACAACATTTATTATTTTTTTTTAGAAATTAGCATGATAGTTTAAAATAAAGTAGTGTATAATTGTAAAACAGAAGGAAAATCATATGTGGTCTCTAAAATTACTGACAATACAAAATCTGAAAGTCATGGTGGGATTTTATATTTAGACTCATATTTAACTGCATTTACAACTGCAATTTCTCTTGTTTACATTTTCTGCATATCTTAGTACATACTTTTACTTGTTTCCCTATTAAATAAGCAAAATCTCAATCATACTGAAAAGAGAGTCAGTGAGTAAAACATTTCAAACTGTTGCCTCAGAATCTCAGTCTGGACTTTAACTAGATCATTCCAAGTCTTAAACTATTCCATCGCAGCTCTGGTTGTTGGTTTGGATCGTATCCAGCTTTACGGAGAATGTCTACAACACCCTCATGTCTTCTGCTCCATTTAACAGATTTATTTCTAGTTACCTTGTATTGATCTCAGATACTCTGACAAGCTTCCCTGTCTTTGTTAAGTAAAGCATCCTGATACTACCATCACCATATTTTTACCACAGAGATGCCTTTATTTTTTATGTGCAGAATTTTTGCAAAAAATAGAAAGAAAGTTGAATCTTTCTCGCTCCTGTTTGCAAACTGCACACGTCATATCAAGGCTTTCAACAGTCCTTCTTGCCGGTCTTCCATCAAAGTTTGATTCATGGAATGCATGGCTAATAGTTCAACAGATTCTCCCACCCAAGTTGTGGATCTCTGCATGTCCTCTAGAGTTCATGGGCCTCTTGGTATCTCATTACCTTCCTGCAAACTTCTACACTTCTACATGCCCGTTGTGCTTTGTGATATTCATAGTGGTAATTGTTCATTTATGTTCCCTGAATAATGTTTTAGGCCTTCACAGAAAAGCTGGATTTATATTAGGTTAAATTATTAGTGACTTGGTTAATTCTCAAAGAAGTTGTTTAGGCTGGAATCAGAGTAAAGTGAGCACAAGACACACCTTTCAGATTTTGTTTCTAGTGTGTTTTTCTAATTTTGCATGTATCCCTTTCCTTTGAATTCACCTACCATAGTGTAAAACTACACTAAGACTCATTGCATTCTGTGGTTGTAGTGTGGACAAAATGTGAGAAAGGTTCAAGCGTATGAATGTCTTTTGAGAGACACAGCTTTTCTTTTGCAAGATACTATTTTTTTTTTCTTTTTAAGGAAAGTCTGCAAGCCTTCCCCAAATCATTCATGCAAATTTACAAAAGAGATTATAGAGAAGTGCGCAGAAAGCACAAGGGTATCACATATTTCTGAAAGGGCAATTTCTGTCACATCTTTAGGTGGATTTTCAGGGGATTTTGTCAAGGGGACGCCAAAGATGTAAATAGAATGTCTTGAGGTCAAAATCAACATGCCCATCTGCTGTTTGCCAAAGCTAACTTTGTCCCCTGTTATCTGGCTTTTTAATGTCTAATACAGTGAAAATGTCATGAACAATATCTCTCAGATGGCACTGCAAGAAAACTGATATTTTTATACTTAGCATCTAAAATACACACACACATATAATTCTTATAGCAATAACAGTGGACAATGGGTGTCTTTAGATAATTTTTATTGTAAGGGATGTTGACAGTATTATGTGAAATACATGATACATGGAGGTAAACATGATTACAAACCATGCAGTTCATAACTTACTTTGACAACTTTTGAAATCCGAAGGTATTGAGTTTTTCATGTTGATATTATGAGCTAGAGAGATACATTCTTGAAATCTACTGAGATTTGTACTTGTACCTCAGTAATGTAAGAATGAGGTGAGAGGGATTCAATTTCTAGCTGTTCACACATAAAAAAAAACAAAAAAACAGCAATTTGTCGGCTTGAAACAACGTGCTGATGACTCAGGATGATCTGTCCAATGACACTGTGAGCACATGTTTAATGGAACTGCCAAAGAAATACTTGTGAGAGCTCCTGACAGCTTTTGATTATGTGAAGATTTTAAGGTTAGCTCAACCCAAACCACTGCCATCATCATAATCTGCCTTACCCATAACTGAGCAACAGCATATTTTCTTTTGCAATACAGCAAGCGTGGGATTAGGTCCAAATGAATGTGGTGGAAACATAATGGCTCCCATTCTCAGAATGTTCATCATGTCTTGCAAAAACAGTAAAGAAATATAGGCAAAATTCCCACAGCTGTGATTAAAACTATTTACAAAACTCCTTCATATAGGCAGTGTGGTGTATTCTACTATGTAAATCCTGATGTGTATTAAAATATTGTTATGATGTTTTTAATTATCCACAAATTGCATATTCCAGTTATAAAATTCTGTTCTCTTCAGGCTGTAGAAGCCGATCTAGGAAATCCTGCTGTTTCCATATTTCCTTTCGTCATGCATGAGGTTTCTAATTATGAGAATCATGCAGGAAAACATTATGGTTTGTGTCAAAATAAATAGATCATATTCTGGATTACACTGGATAACGCCTACCAGCACAGCACTGTTTGTAGACCTTCACCAGTGGTGCTTGACGCAAAAGAAATCTTTACAAAAAATGATGTTCACGAATGAAATGAATTAATTGTGAAATATAGCAGAGATTGCAACTCATGTCTTTGAGACATTTTCTTTGAAGTTGACCTCAGGAGCAGTGAGAGACTTTATAGAAAAACATAGCATTTTGATTAATTAAATTTTAAGGTAAAACAAAAGTAACACCAAGCAAACTGTCAATGCAAACTGATTTGAAATAAAAGCTGAAAGAATATAAAGAGATGTGATTTTCATTCATATTGCCAATGGCAGGAAGAACTCAAAGGAGATTCAACTCAAGGGAGGGCTCAATATATGTGCATTCACAGCAATTCTTGTGCTTGTAGTAACTTAAGATCCCCAAATGAATGCTGTGAAGAAAAAAACAACAACAAAAATCATGTAATTTTTCAAAATCTCTGTCTCCCCATGAATAATAAAGTCAAGATTGATGATTTAGTGATTCAGGGAAATACAGAACTCAAAAAAAGCTAAGTCATTTTTTTGTTTCGGAACAATCCTGGAAATTGAGTGTTATTTTAAAGGTGGTGGGGGCAGGGAGGCCAAGTTAACGTCATCTGTCTAAACATTAGCATGTGTGCAGCCTGAACACCTGTTTCTGTGCATTAGAAACTTTGATTTGTTGGAGGTCACTTTAGGAAAGCTGATGTAAAAAGTGTCTTCATTTTTTTTATTTTAATGAACAATATTTGAACATTAGTAAATTAGAAAGTTATTTTGTTGCTATGCTGGTTTCTTCAGGAATGTGTGTGTATCTTTCTGTGAGTGTAAGTGTTGGGCAGTAGAGAAAGGGGCTTACCCAGGGTCACATTTATGCAAGAACCGCCACTGCTGTCAATGGATTATGTCGGCTAAACAGAATGTATGGGGCTCATAATATGGTGTAATTGTCATTGCTGGCAAGCTTTATGGGCTACGTGATGAAAAGGCAGGTATGACTTGGACCAAGATAAAAACTCTGGTGTGAACCCCTTTTGTGTTGTCACATTCACTTTTAATCTGGGGAGCACTTACTGCAAACAAGACACAAAAAGCCACATTAAAGGCGCGCAAATCCATACGATTCAGGCCTTTCTTCATTCAAATTTGAATAAATCACAATACATCAAACAGTAGTTAATTCCCGCACCTGCTCTGTTAATAAGAGAGCTTGTTTGAACTGCCTTCGGGCATTAATTTCCCCCTAATAAGAAAGCTTTCAGAGTGTTTGCAGAAGTCTCTGTCAGTGTATTTCAGTAATAATGACAGAGTGGGAGGGCCACTCACTGCAACTAAAAAGGACCGCGATCGGAGCGGGCGATCCCACTGTGACTTTTATTTCCAAGTCCCGGAATCCGGAGCTGGACTGATCGTTATCACGCATGGATTATGGTTTTATCGCTGCTTTTGATTTGTTTTTTACTTTAAAGGAAAGTTTATCAGCACCTGTAAGTAGTCCCTTGCTCATTAAAATATTCCATTCTAAATTATATTTCAAAGATATAAATATTTATCTTTATACTGGGAATAACATCAAAACTCGCTTTATTGCGGTGTCATTTTGTTTACCCGGCCCTATGAAATTAAAGTTATTTTTGTTTTTATTTGTCCTGAACGCTCTTAACTTCAAGGCACATGTCTCATGAGCTGCTGTCTTTCTTTTGCTCTCTCTCTCTCTCTGCGGCGGCAAGCCAAACATGTAATTAGTCTCATTGCATCACTTACTCACAAAAAATTATAAGATTATGTCGTTATCTGAAGACAGCTCTAGATTTGGTGGTTATTAAAGAATATAAGCATGCAGCCAATCAGCGGTCGGGCTGGGAAACACGCTTCTTTCCATAGCGACCGCTTAGTGTTAAACTACACTGCATTGACGGGGGGAAGTGTCTTAGGGGATGATGGAGAGAAAGTTAAACGCCTTGTCCGGGCTCTTTTCTCAAGCTGTGACACAATGACTTGGCTGCTACATTGTCGATTTAGAATTTAAATCGATGCAGGCTGACAGCATGTGTTTCATCATCCCTGCTGCCTGCCTGTACCTTAAGGAAAAACCTGCAAAAAGCAAATGAATATTTTTGTTGTTGTAGAAAAGTAGCTTTATTTGAAGGCAGTAAATGCAGTCCAATGTTTTGCATTGCAAAACTAGGCTACACAGGAATAACATAACGCCTTCTCACAGACAGACATGTGATACCTGCGCTGGGCTGCTTGTCTACTACCCATGCATGCTTGAAGTTTTAAGTGGCAGTCGCCTCATCTCCAAATGCCATGACAGCCTTCTGCGGGCCTGTATGCAAAACTTTATGATCTAGTGGGAGATGAGCATGTGCACCCATGGAAATTAATCTCTGCAGGAATTTTTATCTCGACCAGACAGTGAAGGTGTAAAATAAAGTTAAAAGAAGAAGTGCTACCTACTAGTTGCAGTGTACAAATAAATTAAGTTAATTTTTGTGTTTTGTTGAGAGTTGTGGCTTTTGCTCACAAAAGAGATACTGAGCTACACCTAAGAAGGATCAGCCAGGTAATTTCACTGGCATTACAGTCTGTTAACTGAGGCTCAAAAGTTACTCTTTACATTGGAAAAAAAAATGTACATGTTTCTTTATGGTATTTTACAACATTTTCTCTTTCACTTGTTACCATCATGTTTGCGTGCAAGTTTTCTTTGGTTCAGAAATTACCCACATCTGATACTGCTTCTCTTTAGAAACTCATCCACAGTTACTTCATCCACAGTGATGCTTTTACTCTGGTATGCATGCAATCCTGAAGATTTGTTTGGCAGCTTAGGTAAATGTCTTAACGAACTGAAGGCTTCCAACTTTCATCTTTACAAGTCACATTCTCGATTAAGACCCGTTCAGAAATGTTCTAGATTAAAACACACCGGAGTGCCAATAGACAGAGATCAAGGGTTTTGTATTATGAAAGCTACACATAAAGAGCATTGGAAACACAGTTTCAGCTTCCAGTTTATGTGGCGTCATGACCCATTGATTTTATTTTCAGGGCAAATGAAGTCAAGAAGTATAATAATGACCAAACTAGATGGATGTCAACAGTTATGACAAAACTCCATAAATAATGCAATTACCTTGTAATCACTATGTCACAAATTCTATATCGTAGAAATGGGTTGGTATGAGATTCTCAGGGCATAAAAATCTGAATTTAAAAAACTTAAATTTCACAAGATCACAATATAAATACTGTGATTTGATTTCTACCTTTCAAACAGTAAACCACCAATTATTTGTACGAGTGATAAAATAGTGTAAAATTTCACAGATTCCAAATCTTATTTTTTTTAATTTAATTAAGCCATTATTTTATTTTATTTATTTATATTTTTTAGCTATACCTGGACTCTGCTTGATGGTAAAAACTAATTCCACTCACATTTAGATTTTTAAAACCCATTCTGAACTGTGAATTCTTAACCAAACCGAAGTTCCATCTGAAGTAAAGTAACCCCAGATTATGATGCTGGCACTATCTTTAACTGTAGACATGATGTTCTTTTTAGTGATGAGCAGTGTTGATTTTGTGCCAAACATAGCTTTCGAAATAATAACCATGAGCTCCTGCTTGGTTTGATCAGACATCAACAGAGTCTCTGAATCGGTTTCTGGAAGCCTGATATTTAGGTTTTTTGAGTATGTTTGTTTTAAGAAAAGGATTCTATCTTGCAAGTCTCATTCACCTTCTGAAGATAAGGAAAATACCAGAGTTGTCACATGCAGAATGTGATTATATTTGATTATATTTGCAACTTCTTCAATGTTGATTTATCACCATAATAACAATCAAATCCACTGCTGAATAATCTTTTGACTCATATCTTTGTACAATGAGGGTTTTGTTGATCCTTTGTAACCTTCCTGAAAGCCTTGGCTTCAGGTAAGCTCTGCATGATTAAATATCACAAAACCCCAAGTAGGATAGCTGAAATTTATTTCAGGTTAATCAGATTCAAGTCTTTATTTAAAAATACTAAATCCTCTGATTCACACCCTTAAATTTGTATTTTTATGGTGTGATTAAAACAAAAATCTATTTTAACAAAATACTTTAAGGATGTGTAAATTTATGCAATTTGTTGTAAAAGACTGCATACTCCTTTAAGAGCCATCCTAAATTTTGAATATTTTATTAGGTCACCTTGGCTAACAAGCTACAACTCAACATTTAACACAAACAAAGCTACGGGCTAATGATCTTACTGTTGAACACTGTTGACATCTGCATTCATCACAAGGTCTAAGATGCTAATGAGATCATATGAATGAAAAGCTCAAAGGTGCAGACTCCTTGATTACTGGCACCTTTTGAAACCTTTGATTACACATGTTAGTCAGGAGTAAATTTTTTTCTATTAGCTTTTAGCATAATTTACCATTAGAGTGCAAAGTTTATTTCCACAGTAGTACAACTTTCATTAAAGCTAAGAAACCCAATCAAAAGACAAAAATATAACAGACATTTTCCCTTTTTAGATGCAAGAAATGTTTAGAAGTTTATGTCAAACTTTCCAAGCTACAACAATGAAGTCCAGCAGTTTCAGCTCCTGGTGAGCTGAATGAAACTAATTAAAGTCGGTTACTACTGCAACCAGGATAATAGGCCTATATTAGAAGTATGCTTAGCCCATTGTTTGCCTCTCCCTGTTATTAATTAGTGTGATAGCTGAAAGAGATCACTGTTATCTTCTCTCTGTATTGTTATATTTTACCCAATCTGTGCATGGTTTCCCCCAGCACACTTTAAAAAAATAAAATAAAATAAAATAAACTTTATTCTTAAGCTATTTTTACTTTTTGTAAATTACTTTTTGAATGTATATTTGCTGGACCAATACAGACAAATCTGCCAAACTCTATGGAACTATTAATTCTATAATACAACTTCTCTCCTTTAGTAATAATAAATTTGAAGTTTTTTTTTTGTTGTTGTTGCAACAAGATGTCCACTGTGTATGAATGATGACATCACCCTTTACCTTAACACGTGACGTTTTGAATCCTTTGCCATTAGGTCACTTTGGGACAGTAGTAGCCATGTTTGGACAAGATACTGAGCAATTCTTCAAAGCTGATGCCACACATGCGTGTTTCTTTTAGGAATTCTCTGAATTGTTTAAAATTCAATTTATTTATTCAGTTCAGTTTATTTAGACAGTGCAAGTTCACTACAAGTTTCATCACATAGCACTGTATAAGATAAACAGATCCAAATTCATATCTAAATAAATACCAATACTGAGGTCAGCTCAGTCATCTCAACAGATCTGAATTAAATCCTGGTTATGATGCTGCTGCATTTATATATCTATTTGCAGCAGTAATTTCTTTCATGGCTTTTTCCAAGGAAGGAGACATAATCAAACACTGAATGAGAGGATGCCATCAGCAGACAGAGAAAACAAAGTTATTGGTATAAATGTTTTGCTGATTACCATTTACAGGAAACAGACAAATAAAACAGTACAAATAAAACACCAGACCATGTGTAACTTCTGTGAAGAATAAAAACAAACAAACAAGCAATTACTGCTGACAAAACACAGTAGGAAAGAAGAAGGAGAAATATTTGATTAAGGAAAATACTGAATACTAAGTTATATTTATATGGTACAGATTTTGCTTGTCATAAGATAACAAAAAACCAACAAACATTGTTTTTACTCAGTAGGTCTTAAAAAAGTAAAAGCACTACATAATTTTCTGAATGAAGAAATGAGTGTTTTTGCTTAATAGTGTTTGCCTCATTTGACAAAAAAGGTGGGTTTTGTGGAGTGTCCAGATTATGTTGTAAAAGCAGGATTGCTTATTAAAAGGATGACTGTCACTGGCTTATTGTTGTCATTAGCCGCTAATTGGTTTACTTGATTACAACCGAATGCATTTCACCTATGCAAGATAGGATCCTTATTACGCCCAACGCTTTGTTCTATTCGCCTTGGAAATTGGAACTCGTAATTGGAGACGGCATTACATCCGAGATGGGGAGCACTCTAAATTTAATTGCAGATCAGAAAACCTTTGGCATTTGCAAATTATTTTAGTGCTAACAAGTGATAACAATACAAGAAAGCAAGAATGTATGTCTCTGTATTTTATTGGTTCAAATATTAAAGAAACATTTCATTTCGATGTTCTATAGTGCTGTGTGTGTCACTGGTTTGATGGAATTCAACCCCCCTAATCAACTAATGAATAGTTTCCACCTGCAACTTTCACTGCATTGTATGTTTGCAGGAGTATTATTGGCTAATCAACTAACAGCAGCTCAGGGTAAAGCTTTGTTCACACTGCACGGTTTCCGGGAAAGTGTTAGTGATCAGTTGGCATGATGAGTTGGCACAAAAATTGGTGTTAGATGGGATAAACTCTGAAGGAGTGTGTAATTGTGTGAGGGGAGCCAACCCAACTCCACCTCAGTCAGCGTCATATACACAAGTCTCAATTTTATTGTGCTCAATCTTGCTGCAATTGATAAGTGTGAACTTATCAATGGTTAATCTACAAATAACAAAATTCAAACACCTCATTCATTACAATCACATAGTCATAATTTACAACCAAAACAACAGAGATATTTCACTTTTAATCTGAGATACCAAACAAAAACCGGTAAAAAAGAGTTTAAGAAGCATATATTGTGAGAATTTATTGACATAAAACTAACAATTTGTATAATGTACATGACAACAATTAACAAACTGACATTTCTGGAAAAAAAACTTAATGAAATATTGACTGTTGTATGACATACAAGAAACCTATTTCTCAAAAACGCTAAGCAATCCACAGATGGATAATGATAGTATCCAAAGATGATACTGTTATGGATTGCTAAAATTGTTCCAAAACCCTCAAATGACCTCAAATAAATGTTATAAATTCTCAACATTAGTGTAGCAAAAACCTTAGGAGGAATATGTACTTTTTGAAAATATGCATCTTAAGCTTTTTGGATATTAAAGATTTAAGCCGTTCTGTTTGAGCACACTGAAATCAGTTTTAAATATTTCTTTGAAGTTTCGGTCCTTGCTTTTCTTGGCTTAAAAGCAAGTCTGCTTATTTTTTTTTTTTTCCTGCTTATTGGAAATGATGTGTTTGGACAAGGTTGAATAGAGCCTACACGGTTTTGTGAATATCATGAAAGTTCAAGGTGTAGAAGTCTTTTTAGCTATTTTCTGAAGCTTTTTGCAAACTTCCTCACTCTGGAAAACCTTACTCCAGTATTACACTGTCTTGATCCTTGGGTTGTACATTTATTTATTTATTTATTTTCAAAATTAGCTATATACTTGTATTATGTCAATATTTCTAAAATGAATTTTAAAGCAATGTTGTTTTATTGTTTTGCAGCTTTGCAGGTGAGCTGTGTTTCAGCATCAGAGCCATGAATTGCTACTTGATGAGATGGGTTGCTTTCGTTTGGATTGTGAACTCTGTTCCCTGTGGTTTTGGAATGGTTGTGAGCGAGCAAACAGGTACGTTAGTTTGTTGCTAATTCTTTTTCATCTGAAGTTCTGAAAGGCTTTAAAAAGATACAATTTAATGATATATGTAGTGCATGGAAGATTTAGCAATAAAGTGTGAAACCTTTAAAAATTTATTCATCTTTATGAATATGAATACATTATTCCAATGACCAATGTCTTTAACTAGTTAATGTCAGACATTTGGGAACCTCAAATGTCTGACATTAATTCATTGACGTTTTGCATTCAGAAAAGCAATTTAAATGCACAATTTAAAACATAGTCTCAAAACATTTTCCTCGGCTGCTTTGCTATAGGTGGTGTATGTCCCTCTTTGAGTGTTGAGGATTACAGATTTTCTGATGTTTTGGATCGTCCTTTACAGATTACAGGTAAATGATAATATAAAATGCTTTATTCATTGAGAAATCTACTAGAAGTTTATATTATGACACATTATGGCTTTGTTCACAGGATTTGATCTCACAGAAAAATTTCTTCTCCGAAAGGGAACAGTTACAGAGGACCTGGCATCATTTCGACTGGGAAGCAGCCCTCTGATAAAGCCGACAAAGTAAGTAGATTTTTTTAAAATTGATATTCTATTGCAGATTATTGTTTTTCTTTCTGTAATATTACTTTAAAAAGAGAACAGGGGAGAATGTTCCAGTTATTGAGGGATAATATTTTGGGGCCTTTTTTTGAAAACATACTTCAGTGAGTTGGAAAAGAAATGCTCTGACCTGGGATTCACTATGTTGTTATTTTCAATGACCATGGTACAGTGAGCCAAACCTTTACTATGCATAATTACTGAGACGGTCATGGGAGTGTGGCTGTTCAGTCGACATGGGTTTGTGTCTCAGGAGTTCTATCAATTATTCTAAATGTTCATTGTTTGGGTAGCTGCGGGAATGTGTGGTGCTTGGCTAGGCCTTTTCAGTCTTTGTCAGACCACAGCAAGAGTTGTGTCCACACAAAGACAGACTTCTTACCAATGTAAAGTGAACTGTACCAGTGCTGATGCTTGTCACCCATCCTGTTTGTGATGTTCATGAACAACAGCTAGAGGTATACTCATATAGAAGAGAGCACCGGGTTTGGGAACCTCAAAGTCTCATCTTTGCTTTTTGGAGATGATGTGGTTCTTTTGCTATCCTCAAGCCATGACCTTTTGGATGACTGGTGATCAAATGCCAGCTGATTTTCTCCTGTACTTTAACTAGTTAAAGTAACTAATCTAGATTAGATATTTAGATTAGATCTAGATATCTAATCCATATCCCTTGTGGGTGCATTCCTTTGAAGGTTTTCTGGGCATTTTATTCTGGTTGGTGACAACAAGGAAATATTAGAATTAGCAGGAGGATCTACATCTCGCTTCTGGCCTGGAAATGCTTTAGGTTCCCAAACACAAATGTCCTGGAGATTGTCTCTGGTAAGAAGGATGTCTGGTTATGTTTGCTAACTGATCTTGAATGGACAACGGATGGTTTTCTTGTCTTTAGATCTGGTGATTTTATCTGAAAAATTGTATTGTTACAAAATTCTTGAAAGAGTTGAATTGAGGCAGCCCACATATATCACGTTCAGAGCAAAAGTCCCATTTACCTCATTTAGTAAGGGCAAGCAGTGAGGTGAACTCGCTGACAGAGAATAATTTGAATTAATATATATTGCATTTATTCAAGAAATCTCCTTGAGGCTGAATGTGGGACGTAAAGGGACATAAAATCCAGATTATGTATAATAAGGTTTGAATATTAAAATAACTCTGTAAATGACACACTTAGGTATCTTTTTCTGGGAGATCATTATTCTCCAGCTAACTGGGTGGATGGTAAGATTTTTCTATGCTAATGAGAATTTGTCTAAGTGGCCATCTTGTTTAATATATTATGAAGGCCTACGTCATTTATGACTCGGCTTGCTCTGATGTTCTGGAAGTTCTGGAGACAATCATTCTTTCCTGTCCTTTGGTTATAACACTCAAAGTGAATACTGTCATTCTTCAAGGAGGGCTGGATATTTTTAGTATTTTTACATGCACTTGTAAACATTTACTGCCACCCGCCTGCTTGCTAGTTTAACGTATCTTTGAGCCAGATGATTTGTGGTCTGCTTTTCTCTTCTGTCAGCCAACTGAAAATACATTTATGTTTAAGTCCTCTCACTCAGTCTGGACCCCTAGCGCAAGTAGATGTTGGTTTCGCAGGGACGCTGCTGGCAGTGTTGTTGGTTATAGTGGCAAGGCTGTGATCCCGCTCATATCCAATTATCTAAGTACTTTGACAGGTGATAGAGCACATCAGCTCAGGAGAGAAGGTGAGGGCAGTTGCACATATAGAACAAAGTCCCCTCAGCTGCTGCCGCTGCCGCAAAAAGCATTGCTCACCGTACTCGGGGGGGGATTATGCAGCCCCATGCTTTATTCTCCAGATCCAGCTGACGATCAGCCAGCTCCTCGACACAGTGCACATTATGGGACATAGATCACGGCTGACACACTCTTCAAGCAGTTATGTGAAGTGACAAATTGCCTGCCATAATGCACCGTGCACTCATCCATACAGCGGTAAAGTTTAGTAACAGTTGCACACTCTCTTTAGAAACATCTGTGTTTTGTCTATATCTGTTTACATCTTAACCCGTGTTTGTAATCATATATGATTCATTTATTAAATTGCTTTTGAATATGTCATTGCTATCTACACTGCAGATTTTCTTGTGCAGTAAGGATAATGAGTGTTTTTAAGAGCATGGTTTTCTTTGCTTAAAGGTTTTGCAAATGAGTTTCCTTTTTTGCTGCGTGTTAGACAGCAGGCAGCCACACTTGAGTGGAACTTTTTGCTTGTTTCTTTGTGTAGCATAATGAGTTGTAAAGCTAGAATGCAGGCTCACTATTGTATGTTTATTCAAATTTAGGCTTTCATATGCTTTGAGGGTGGGCTTTCAAAATTACCATTCTTGTTTACACATCTGTGAGACAATCAGAACCTTTAAGTGAAACTGGCAGCATTTTCTCTCTGACAGAAAGTAATTTTTCATCTTGAAATAGAAAATGAGCTATCATTTCTTTTGCAAGCAGCCACACATTTTCATAATTTGGTACATGACCCACTGAGACAGAAAAACATAATATGGGATCAGGGTGTTTTATGATTGTTTTATGTTTGTAGTTTTCAGTAATAAGTGACTGTTTTGTCACTTCTCTATCAGCCCGGCAAAACCTAATTGACTAATTTCAATTCCAGGGTTGAATTCTGGAATTTAATTCAATTAATCATGAATTAAAAGGATTCTTTTAATTCATCATAATTCATTTAACATTTTCAAGAGAGAGAGGAATGTGAGCCAACAAGGTTAGTATTTGTAGTTTAATTTTTTTGAACTGCAGCAATTTGACTCTGACTCCTTTAAAATAATCCACCAGGATTGGATTTCTTTTAAGCTGGTCACAGTCACAGTCAGCATTCTGCTGACACACTGTAAACCTTTACTTCTGATTACACTATGGACCGCATCACCTGGGCAAGATTTATCGTCAAAGGCATGTAACAAAAGTGATGACAGCCACCACCACAAAGAAGCTTTAATTGTTTATTTAAAATATGGTTTTATGTTGCATAAGCTGTCAGTTGACAAATAAAATCCCAATAAAAACCATTGACTTATGTGACTGTTGATTACAAAATGTGAAAATGTTTACACCCCATAAATTACTACACACGGGATATTGATGCTTTTACAAGCTATGCACACTTTTGACAGTCGTGGTAGTGATTGGAGGATTTTTTCTCCATATTGGCGTGTATTTGTCGCCATCAAAATGTACTATGGACTTTTATAGCATTCAACCATCACATGGCTTGAGAGAAAATAAAAGTTTATTGCTGTATGTAATCCAAAAGTCAATTAAATTGATTCCACATCAAATTAGTCACTGCAAATTAGTTATATTTAAATGAGACTTGTAAGAGACGGAGTTGGCAGAATCACACAGTGTAAAAGCGCTTTTGGCAATATAACACGGTGGTGAGGAGAATGAATGAACATCCCTCTTATGCTCTCATTAACATCTATTTAAGCATGCGGGGTGGCGGTTCAGCAAAGAATCAAACACAGCATTCAAACTTTAAGGTTTGGAGTTTTTGTCACTTCAGCCACTGAGAGCACTCAGCACTAGGTCAAGAGGTTTAACCTTTTGAATCCCTCAGAAATAAAATGTATCCACAACATAGAAGCACCACACTTTGAAATAATAGTAAACAGGAATGTTAACTCTATTGGCCTTAAATAAAACAGTGTTCAGTCTGCTTAGTGTTAATTTACCATGTCTCAGTAGCTATGTGTAATGAATATGCTCTCTCAAGTTCAGTGTCTTCTTTTATGTGAATTTTTTATCCTTACACTCTTTAAACAGATGTGTTAAAAAGAGCACATAATGTGTTAATTTTAACACGTGCCGACTCAGCTCAGGGACAACACGTGTCGTTCTAACACAACTATTGTGTAATTTCAATCAACACAAACAAGTGTTAAAATGTGTCATTGTGACACACACATATGTAAAATATGTTTTCATAGATTAGGTCAAATAAAAATGGACATTTTTATCTGACAGTATAAAAATGGATACTTATATTAAAATTAAATACACGTTACAACAATTCAATCTGGAGAGACTCAGACGGAGAAAGACAGCGATTAAAATGATTTATTGACGTACATGAATTAAAGTTCTTTGGTGCTCGGGACCAGGTGCTCGGGACATCAAGCTGTGAATTGCAATAAGCTCGGATGAGCATTCCCGGTGCTGGTTAGGAATGTCATCCCATGGGGCCCAACACTGGTGGTGGAGGTCGGTGAAGGAAGTGTGCCTGGAGAGCCAGGAGAGTGGGGGTTGAGAAGTGGTAGGAGGAGGGCACTAAGATGACTTGCACCAACAGGAAGCAGTAGATCTGTCAACAACACAAGCATGTTACAAGTCTCAAAAAATAGCAGAACTCTAAAAATCTGTAGTTTATGTTGTAGGCCATTATATACTGCTCCAAAAATAAAGGGAACACTCAAACAACACAATATAACTCCAAGTAAATTAACTTCTGTGAAATCAAACTGTACACTTAGAAAGCAACACTGATTGACAATCAATATCACCTGCTGTTGTGCAAATGGAATGGACAACAGGTGGAAATTATTTTCATATTTATTTCATTCATTCAGATCTAGGATGTGTTATTTGAGTGTTCCCTTTATTTTTTTTTGAACAGTGTAAATACAAATCATTCAGCTTTTTATATAATAATCAATTTACCTTCCCATCACTGGCTGATATTATATGAAAGATTTTCCATCACAAAAAATGTTCCTCCAATGTAAGTAAACATTATATTGTTTCTTTTTTTTCTTTCAACACAAGTATCTTTGTGAACTTTTCTCCTGTTTTAACATTAGGACCTGGATATAGTTTTATATTTAAATATTTTATGTACAAAGATCACAAATTCCTGGTTCCACATAAATACCTTTGTTCATGTCTTTGAGTTTTGGTATGATGCCGGCTTGCCATGTACGTAGAAATAAGTCTGCCTATTCATCTGGTGGGCTTCCAAAGTGAGCCCAGCTATAAGAAATGAAAGGAAAAAACTTTTTAGAAAACTAGAAGTAGATCATCGATGTGCCAGTCATAATGTTACAGGGGGAAAAGAAGCAGACCTATCAGATTTGACATGTCCAGAAACCATTAATATGCATTCAGCCTGTCTGCATTATGAAGATAACTGGAAACAATAACAGCATTCCATCTTAATAATTTATAAAATAAAAAATGATCAACGCTACTTAACAGCTGTTAATTGCTCCAACTGTTACTTTAGAATTTCTTAAAGAAACAGAAACCTTTTGCTTCGAATGGGACATGAAGTGTAAGCAACATTTCAAAGGGTGAATTAGACCATAATTGCATTGTGGCCTAATTCACACAATCCTACACAAATAAGGATAATTTTCTATTCAAAGGCAACTCACCACCTGTCTGTGCTAGCTACCTTTGACATGAAACCCACTATAACATTTCAGAGTACTGCCCTGACAACAAAAAATACCATACTTTTTCCAACTAGTGATTTAAGAAAATTCCCATAAATCTAACATGATACAAATTCATTCAAACAAATACAAGGTATACACATACTAAAGTGGTTATTTCAAAAGATTTAGCTTCCACCTTTGCCTCGTTTGTCAAAAAAACTTTCCTCCAATCAGAAGACTTCATTTGGTGGCGCCCTGATGTTGCCACTTGCTTATCAACCAAAGTGAGGTTGTCAGCTAAGCTTTCGTAAAATGTGTTAAAATTTTCAACACATCCAGTGTGTTATAATGTTGTGCAAATTTTAACACATTGTATGTTAAAATTAACAAACTCTGCATTAAAGGTGATGACATATTTTTTAATTTTTTAACACATCTGTTTTAAGAGAGTATAATGTAATTCTTCACGATAAATTTAACAGCAACAGGCCTTTTGTTTCTTTATGAAATTTTGAATTGAATGTTATATTTAAGGTAAATATAACATCTGTGGTAACTGTGATGCCACTTTTAATATTCATCTGTAGTTGAAATAGTCTCCTGCACAAGACCAGAAATGACCTTCACAGTCCTCAGGCTGCTACAAAGGAATTTGGCTCTTTTAGGAGCTCAAACTCAGTGCATTTATTATTTTAGTCATGTACCATTTACAATAAAATCTCTGCAAATACAACAGTAGCACATATGAGGCTGTGAGGGAGCAGGAGATGATGTATAGGAGTAAAAACTAATTCCCAACCTGTCTGAGAAAGGTGTATCACTCTTCCTTCCTCACAACTATGTGCTTCAGTCTCACTGACCTTATCAATGATGATTATTACTATTTTTGTTGATCGTATTGTATATTTATGCTTTTTCATTCTTGTTAGTTTGACTGAAGTTACGGCCAGAAGATAATTATACTTAACAAAAGTCTTTGCAAGACTTTTCTTTGACGCAATGTAACTTGAAATTGTATGTCAAGTAAAAACTTGTGGAAAAGCTTGTTTAGTATTTGATAATATTGCTTTTCCTAAATGTGCCTCATTTTCTTATCATCTATTTCTCCGTCAACTGGACTCCACTTCATTAAGTAGTGCATATCATAGAGATGAACATGTGATTGCATCTTATTTTTCATGTGTAACTGTAGCTCATGGTGTTCTGGTGCACTAAAAGATTAAGCTTTGGATCAATGTCTACATGCTTTCATTATCTGAAATGACGTCAGATCCGGGAAAAAAAAAAAAAAAAAAACACACTCAATGGAATTAAGTTTATGTTTATTTATGGAAATGCTGCTGCATCAAGAGGATACTGAAATGTTTTATTGATCACAAAAGTTGATTGGCTCATTCATTATGCAGCTCATGAAAGCTCTTAACCTTAACTAAACAATTTTGACAACTGACACCATCGACTGAGACTGTTTGGACAGTTAAAAAAATAAATGTTTCATGTTTAATATAAAGATGCATTTATTTCAGATCGATATTTCCAGATGGACTTTCAAATGAGTATTCCCTGGTCACTATCTTCCGTGTGAGACGAACTACAAAAAAAGACCGCTGGTACCTTTGGCAAATATTTGACCAATCAGGAAGCAGTCAGGTAGGTGTATTGTAATATCGTACAATGCTGGTCAGAGGCTTAAATGTCATCTCATGCATTAGAAGTGGAATGATGGATGAGTTTTCAAAATTAAGAATTGAAGCCAAAGAGTTGAAATTATTTTGAATTGTATCTAATTGTAAAAGGATAAACCTCACCACCCCCGGCAGACTCAGATTTATAAAGTACATAAATCCATACATTTACATTTAATTTAAATTTGTTTGCTGTTATGAATCTATTTTTATACTTTGGCTATTTTTGCATTAAAGTTGAGAAGTTTAATTTCACTCTGTTGTCATTCCAAAACCAGCCTTTGTGATGGGTTCATCACCCAGCCGGTTGCTGCTTTGTGGTGAAGTAAAAAAAAAAAAAAAACTTTAAATCTCAAGCTCTCGGGCATAAAGCCTTTCTCCAGACAATACTGTTCAACTTGCTTACCTGAGGACAGCAATGCCGGTATTTCTATAGTTTATTATAGATCTGAGCCTTAGTGGTTCCTATTTTGTTCTTAAAAATTTGTTGTCATTTTCCTTTAATCAGACCTGATAGTTTAAATGAATCAAATACCATGCCAGACTTGTTGCTGGTCCTAAAATAGTTGGTGTATTTGTATTGTATACAGTATATTTGAGATTGTATGCCACCAGGGTGGATTTGAAAAATTTCCCAATGAGCATACATTTTATTTTAAAGTCCCCCAATTCATTTGACATTCATGCCTATTTTGAATGTATGTAAACATCTGATCAGCTCAATAGAACAGAATAATGTATGTATTAATCAAAATACTATTATTATTTGTTGATGAGGAATCTCTTGTTACACTTTTCTTAACTCCTCAGGTGTCTGTGGTGGTTGATGGTGACAAGAAAGCAGTGGAGTTTTCTTCCCGGGGTCTGCTGAAAAACTCTTTCCGCTACACGTTTAAGAGTCGTGACCTGCATGCCCTCTTTGATCGCCAATGGCACAAGCTCGGAATTTCTGTTCACAGCGACACAGTTTCCATTTATGTCGATTGCACGCTGGCTGAAAAGAAAATGACTGATGAGAGGGACAGCATCGATCTCAACGGGCGCACACTCATCAGTACACGAGTGGAAGATGGAAGGCCTGTGGATGTATGTTCCCATGACTCATTTTTAAAATAAATATTTTTGTTCCGGAATAAATTCTCATCTAGCACCATATTTATTGGCACACTTGCTAAAATGATAGAAAATTATTTTGAAAAATGGGAGTTTATCACTTCACAAATTCTGCTTAAATAATGATGTCAGCATGTCAGTATTTGAGAATCTAATACATTATTTTGAGAATTCATATAATTTGCTTCTATGAATTAAGTATTAATATCCATTCACGTTCTGTACAAACTTGTACCTATCGGGGTCCGGAGTAGTGCTGGTGCCTATCTTTAAGTCTTACCATAGTTAAAAAAAAAAAAAAATCTTAATTCTGAATGTTTTTATTGGATTATCACACATGTGGCTTTCGATTTATTCTAAGAAAATATTAAGCACCCACAGTCTTTAAGCATGTAACTTAAGAATGTTTATATATTTTTATATTAAATGTATATTTAAATGGATCAAATTTTTAATCAGTACTCTAGAACTTGCTGTTTGTCTGGTTAACAGTTACGATTCTTTTTTCTTAGTCATTTTATTAAATGAGAAAGTCCAAATAACAAGTTCTTTACGTAAGGCAGACGTCACCCTAACAAGAAATGTTTTGAGGAAAATAGCTACTTTGTCTACAATGAGAGCTACAATTGAAGTCAAGCTTTGTCATACAGAACTGGATAAAAATCTTTGTTCTGTCAATTAGGTAAAACACAAAAAGCACCAAAACACATTGGTAGAGAACAGCTTCAAATTACTCAGTGTGAGAAGATGAAACTACAATAAAAGATAAATTTAACCTGAGGGTATTAACAGATCTTTTATCAAGGATGCCAACAACTATGAGGGATAGTATAAAGATTAAACAGTGTTTTGTCCTGAAAGTTTTGGTACTTTTCTCTAATTTGATCAAGACTGGACAACCAATTAAAATACCCTCTAACATTTTGAATTATCCTTCAGGGACATGCCTTTCTAAGTCTTCTATTGATTCATAGCTGTAAGCCTCCTCTAGTAGCTTGACCAGGCAGCTAAAAAAACACCTAAGGTCAGCTTTGCCATTTGATCACTCATGCCTTTGAATAGACTTTGGCTTAAGTAGGATTAACAGCTGACTTTTTACCCCATGTAATTCATGAATTACATAAATCAGTAAACATGTTGCAGAAGGTAAAGCACTTAAGGAAGTCTTGTTATTTAGAGCTAGAATTTTTAAGCTGTTTGCTGTGATGAAGACTCCACTGAATACTGTAAATCTAAAAGAGAAAACCAGTGATAATTTGTAATGTTGCAACCAAAGAAACACATTGTATGTCTCTGAGACTGATAATGGCAGGAATCTTGCATCAACTTCAACTCTTCTTTATAGATTGAGTTGAGGCAAATTCTGATCTACTGTGACCCTTACATGGCTGAAATGGAAAACTGCTGTGAGCTGCTTGAGCCAAAGGTAAACTGTTTTCATTTTTCACACCTTATTATCACAACAACAGTGCTGGGTTATAGCGAAAATAAAGGACTCATGCTTGGGTAGTTTGAAATAAACATTTATGTTCCAGTTTGTTGAAAGTAATGGTCAAATATTAGCATTTTTGTCTGAAAATATGATGTCAATGGATTGTATTGGTGACTGTATTTCAAACCAGAGAAATAATGTATTGTTTTTTATTCATGTTTTAAAGCTGCAGTATGTAGCTTTTACAAAAATATACTTTTTATAAATTTGCTAAAACTGTCAGTATCCTGACAGTGTAATCTGAGACAGTTTTACTGATTAGTTGATTCTGACTGAGAGGTCAGACAGTGTATGTCTGCGAATATCAGTAAGATTTCAGCGAGGAGGCAGATGAGCTTGATGTTTTTACAGATTATCTGCCACAAATTATGCTGTCCTGACAGTGACAGCTTTAACAAATTTATAAATAGCGTATATATATATATATATATATATATATATATATATATATATATATATATATATATATATATATATATATATATATAATAAAAGTTACCTACTACAACCTTAATTTGAAATTAAGTTAGCAATTAAAATAAAAAGTGTAACTAGAAAAAAAGTGTAGTAAACTATAGAAATGATTAGTTCTACGTTTCTGAAATTCAAAACTAATATCCTCAGAGGAAGACATTTTTTGGTGGGAGTATTTTTCAGCTGTGAAACAAACTCAAAATAAAATGTCTAATTGGTGATATTTTGGATTGCAGTGTGGAGTCAACAAGACATTTATTGGAACCCCGCTTCCACTGGTTACAGCTCAGAGTCCCCTGATGCCGTCTCAGCCAACCTCACAATCAATTGACACATGTCACTGTCCAGGACAGAAGGTACAATCAATTCCTCCCAACAGAAGCCTCTAATATATTACAGGGTAATGGTTACTGCAAGTGTGCCAGTTCTAATTTGATATATTCTGTTCTCATTCTTGAAATTATTTTTCGATGAAAGCCAACCAAAAAGAGCTGCTATCTATTAAACTCTAGTGCAATTCTTCTACACAGTCTCCAGTGCTTTTGTCAAATTGGGAAAAATATTATTTTACTGCAGTAATATTTTACTGCAAAGATTAATCTACTTTTTAAATTAAAATTGTGTTCCTCATACTGCTTATGTTCATTTCCATATATCACGACTGTAATGTCCAAATATCACATCCAGAAAAACTACATAACTTGAAAGTATGAAACATAAACACAATCAGTCTTACCTTAAGTTTTTCTGAATTTTAATAAGTAATCCTAGTCAATTTTAAATCTATCAGAGAACAGTTTATTTTTAATTTTTTCCTAATACACATGCATCTTCTGAAATATCTTACTAATTTGTGTTCACAGGAAGATGCTGGCGTTCCAGGGATGCTTGGGCTGTTTAAACAAAACAGGGAAATAGGAGACAAGGTAAGAAAAACATTTGAATCAGTGTTAGATAAATGTTGGAGTTTGAAGCGTTCTTCTATTTTTGGTCAGCTGGTTGGTCAGTTCCACAAAGAATACATTTTTATCTGTTTTGTTTTGCCATATTTCTTTGTGAATTAATTTATTTAGCCAGTGCAGCTAGCTTTCCAGGAACTCTGCACGGTCTGAACGTCGGGATACGCAGCAGTTTTCTGTAGGACAAATTTATCCTTGAGTGTTCGTGAAAAGAAAGGATCCATCTCTCCCACGCAGAGCAAATGTCAGTGTTGTGGTGTCTGGCAAAGTCTCGTGTTCTTCTGTCAAGGTCCTTCAGTGGGGCTACCATACAATTACCTCCACAAGGTGAAATTTCTCCCAGCTCACCTAAGGAGTGTGAATTGGGAAATCATAGATTTGTACAATCAGTAGGAAACAGGTATAGTTTGAAAAGAAAATGCCCCTTTTTCATGACAACTCAATAGACATGTTGAATTGTAAATTGTAAATGCACACTTACTGAAAATTGTTGGTGTTATGTCAGCTGGAGGACATGGAAAAAAAAAAAAAAAAACCATTGAATCCCCAGACAAACGGTGTTATTTTTCCCCAGACGAATCCCATTGTTTGGCCGATTAAATCCCCTTTTGACTGTTCATGCAAGGTTAAAGAAGGCTGGAAAGGAGAATGCATTTCGCTATGAATAGAAATCATAGCAGAAAAGGTGGCAGCACTGCGCATGTGATAATACCAGATGGCTTTTAGGGTCAGTCTCCTAATTAACATTGTGTAGTTGTAGTATTAAAATATGTAGGATTGTTACCAGAAGTTTGCCCGTGAAGCAAAAGTTTCCTCTTTAATTGAAGACTCAATAATTGTTTTTAATTGAAAGATAAGCTATTGTAGTATTGGTGACTAATTAAATTGAATCAGGGAGAAGGTATCATGTCAGGCAGGTAAACGACACATCCACATATCTGATAACCAAATTATAAAAAAAATATATAATTTGGCTAAAAAAAAAAAAAAAATGAGAAACTATGTGACAAAGGTTAGAAAAATGAAAATGCTGGTTAAAAGATGATTTTCAGATATTTTTGTTTCCCTTACTTGCTTGCCTGATATAAGGACAGTACAAAATCCCAAAAGAACCTTGTTAAACATTATGCACCAAGGTTTTGTACAGTCATCCTTTATCTAGCAGGACCCACCAATTTCTTGGCCTATAAAATGGAGACACTGATGAAAGAATGCTTAGCTACAGTTATTTTAGTGGATTTTTCTAAAAGCAGATGCAAATAAATATATTTACGATGCACTTTACTTAGCAGCAACTCAAATATATTGTCCCCTGTCACTGATGTAGCTTAACATTAAGTTTTTGGAGGGAGTCACAGTGTGCACTGTTCAAACATTTCTTTTATTACAGTTTACTCTAGTGTCACATTTTGATAGTTATGACTATTCCCCTGTTTTTACAAAGTAATAAAGTAAGAATGTCAAAATAAACATTTTTTCAGCAAGTTTGACCTCTGTTACTTTCTCATTTTCTACAAATGTTAAATCTTCCAATACTTTTTTAGACTTTAAGGACAAAAAGATATTTAAAACGATATTTAGTAAAATCTGTTTTCTTTGTGTAAATGGTTTGATATTAATATGAAGCATGCTATTCATGAATAAAGGTCAATCCTTTAGTACCAATATTGTCATTGATTATGTGTGCTCACTGGCCATGAATCAGTTTCTCACACCTGAAATCAAATTTCAGGTCTTTATTTAAAATCGATAGTTAGCACCATTTGTTTACTGACTGGACAACAAAATTGACAGCAAATCCCATTACAGACTTGAACACAGAATTGATCAAGTTAAGGAAAGCATGCTCACGGACAATGCATTTAACACTGTGAGCCATGCTGTAAAAAAATGTTAAGTGAAGAAAAAAAAAATTATTTTTTCTTACTCTTTCCTGTTTTCACAATAGTCTAATTTAATAACATGTTCTTCTGAATGCAGTATGTTTATCAGAGAGTGCTGTTGAAGCAAGGACAAAATGACAGCCACTTGAGAAATGTACATAGTAGGTATAACAATAGTAATAAGAAGAAATAAAAGTCACAAGTCTTGAAACAGAGTTAACAGGATACGGAACATGGAAAGAGGACCTGGTATTGGAAAGGAAGAATCCAGCCTAGAAACTCTGAAAAACCAGGAACTTACATGGTGACGTTTGGACAGTAAATGACAAAAGAATCAGATAAACTAGTCAGTGTCTATGAGGAACATATGTGGCAGAATGATGGCAGGGAAATTGACGGATGAATAAAAAATGGAGCTGAAGAAGATTCCTAATTCTAACAAATAAATAAGGAAAAGGTCCAACAATAATGTAAGATTAATACAGTAAATTCAAAAGTACATGGATCAAAAATGGCAACACCCTTTTAACAATACTGAACTGGCTTACTGGCTAAAATAATCCCTGCAGAACATTACAGAACAACAATGAAATGATTAAAACACAAACATCTGTGGATTGCGACACAGAGGGTCATTTATATAGTGAGATGAATTTAGCAAAGGTCTTAAATTATGTGATGTTTAGTTTAAATTATGACATCACACTCCAATCTGGTCAATCTGAAGACATTGATTCTACAACATAACTAACAATTTTCTGTTTAATTATGATCTCTGTTTTTCTTTTTGTTGTTATTATTTTGTTTCTTATGTATTCTCCTATTTTGAGTAATGATAGGTTAATTCGCTCCAATTTACTCTTTGTTTACAATAAATTTGGCAGCTAATATTTCTCCCATGTAGTAGAAGTGATTATGTTTAATAGATGCACACAAGAGGCGCATTTAAAATGTGGAAAAAGACTGTAGCTTGAGGTTAACTCTGACATAATGACTGTTTGGAAGGGCCATATTTAAATTACAATTCAAATCAACACTTTAAAAGGCACAGCAGCTAGATTGCTTCTCAAGCCATTAGCACAGAGTGGTGCTTTGAGATAATTTAATGCACCTGATTTCAAGTTTTAATGAGTCTAAACAAACTGAGTTTGATGGGTTTAATAAAGTGATGTAAATAGTTTTAATGGTACATTCGCCCAAAAAATGGAAAAGGTGGTTGGATTTAAATGAATAAATAGGGATTTTATGTAATATGACATGAAACCATATACTGCACGATAAGTACTTAGCACGGTTGGAATATGATCATTTGGAGCGAGCAGATGATAGTTGCAAACAGCAGAATGCCACCGATTATGGGGTAAAAATGCTTCTTACATCTTGTTAAATTTGCATTTGTTTCTCTGCAACCAGTGCTGTTATAAAAACCTCCATTAGCACAGATGTCATTTCTTTTATACCATTTGTTGAATATCACATGATATCCCAAAACATCAGGCTTTGTGTGAGCAGGATGTAGCCGCTTCTTTTCTTTTACTCTCTGACCTTCCCTGTCAGTACTCCTCCACAACTAAATTATGAGAGCAACACAATTCTGTTCAGTCATTCTGATTTCTGGATCTTAACAGAAATTACATGGATCTTCACTCTTAAAAAATTATAGGGAGTTAAAAGAAAAGATCCATAAGGTGAGCTCATAACACTTTCAATTAACAACAGAAGCATCTAATTCAGTGGGAGATTCAAAATAGTCTGAGTATACTCTGTAACAATTTAACTTGACTTTGTAGAGATTAATCAAAGGCATCTGGACAATTTGAGGCATTTAAAAAGCCCATAATGAGAGCTGCTGGGCAATCATCATGACCTATACGGAGAAAATTTCTTGGGAAAGTGTGAGGGGATTACTTCAACTGTGCTACTCAAATGGAAAGTACTATCCCGCATTACAGTGAGTTTGATGGAGGATTCTTATGCAGTGCAAGGGGATTAAAGTGCTATGATTAATCCAGAATCCCCCAGGAAATTAAACAGATAAATAGTGGGTTATAAGAATGCAGCTTACTTGAAAGGAAATCCATTTTCTTTGGCCTCGCACATAAACCCTGTTATTGCTAGATTTACAGCTCCTGCATGTACATGCAAAAAAAATAAAAGTTTTTTCCACTTTTACAATACATTTAATTTATTTTGCACAGTTTATAAATCTGATGCTCTCGTGATTTCTGTTTTCTTTTATACTTTTGAATTCAATGGACATACATTGCTCCTGTAAAGTGAATTACTGTAGGAGTTTTAGTCTGAGCAGTCTGTTGCTGACCATAAATTTTGACAAGCTGCCAAAATCTCTCATTGTTTCTTTTATGCTCATCCGTGTTAAAATGTTATTAGGTTTTCCTGAGAACAGGTTTCGTGTCAGAGGCCTAAAAGGAAATTTTAATAACTGATGAAAAAATGCGGAATGTGCTTTTTCTGACCAAATTACAAAATGGAAAAACAGGCGCAGGACCAAACACAGTCAAACTCATCTGCTCCTTTAGGATTCTCCCAGCCCGACCTCTATCTGTCGTGAATCTTTGGCCATTTGATAGCCCTGTCAGAGAATTACAATTTTTATGGCAATGTTTGCTTGTAAAATTTAAAAAATTTGAATATCAACCAAAATCAAAACTCTCTGGTGCCATGTGTCGCAAATGTCTTTTTCTTTTTAAATATTATATCACTCCTTTCCAAGCACTTTAGTTTCCAATGGGAATTTTCGTATGTCTTTCTGGTGCTGAATAAGTCTATAATCAAAGCAATGCCATAGTGTTTCCAAATAACCTACACCATTACAACTTTGCTTGCATTTATTAATTATCAACATTTTCTGTCCTACAGTTTGTTTTTTACATTTTGTATTTTTGATCCAAGACTAAAATTGAAAATATGAAAAACAAGCACTTATAGATTTTTTTTAATTTGAAAACAAAAAACAACAAAAATCATAAATTTCAATTAATTTTTTTTATTTTGGTTGTCAGTTGAAAATGAAAAAAATTATTTTATACAGATTCTTCTGAAATCTCTTATTTTGAAAAACTCCTGTGTCAAATTGAATCCCAGTATACAATATCTGTACACTGTGATTAGTCAAATGACTGACAAATGCCAGTCATTTGTCACAAGACTTTATTAAACAAGACCAAAGATCACACCAGACCGGTCAGAGAAATGTAAGCTTTAAGTAGGTAAAAATATTTTAAGCAGATTTAGGCTATGAAATAATATTCCAAAATTGCTTGTTTTATACTTTTTAGTCTATCATTTGAACAGCAAGAAACTTTGGCATAAGGAGTACAAATTTTAAAAGAGGTTAATTTGTGGTTTTTCCACAAGCCATGTAGGAATGTGGTAGAAGGTGCTCTGATCAGATTAGACCAAATATGAACTAAATTAATTTGAAATGAAATTTTGTCCATAGGTTTGCGTACCTTTACAAGGCACAAAATCCTTTCCATTAAAATTGATGTCAATACCTTAAATATTGTTTCACTTTGCCTGTGAACATATCCAAATCCAGTACCGAGTGCAGCTTTCTCCTTTTTCAAGTTAATACAGATAACATCACAGTTGTTAGTATAATACAATGACTCTTACAGTGATTGGGATTAACATTTGTAGTTGTTACGAAACAGTATACCAATCTGCAGCTGCTGAGCCATAGTGTCAGCAAGAACTTGTGTGACAGCTGTAGTAGCAAGAGCACCGACTGCAATGACAAGCCTCCATAATGCTATTCACTAATGTGTGAATGAGAGACCTTACTCTAACCTTTGTCCATACTGTTTTCATCACAGTGGGACACACAGGGAGGTCAGGCTGCCAAGAAGCACTGGACATAACTTTGGGGTGTTCCTTTTTTTGTTTTTGAGTTGATGGAGTTAGTTACTGTTGATGTAGCCATCAACAGTAACTAACTCCATTACTGAAGCAAGTTTTTGACGTTACTGAAATAAACTGAAGTTATGTAGGGGACAGTGATGCTACAAACTCGCTAACCCAAAACATGGGTGCCTGTTTGTCGGAGGTTGGACTTCATACTGCTGTAGAGATGTATGTTTCAGTTCCTAGCACTGGTATTTCGGGCTTGGCTGTCCGCTGTGTTGGACATACTTGGCATTCGTCCTGGGTGGGGGCCAGAAAGGAATCATGTCCTTGTCACTGCAGCACTAACATCTACGAGATGTTTGGGCTGTATGTGCAAAGGGGGTTAGGATCTGAGTGTGAACAGCTCTAAGCATACCCAGTTGATGAAGCCTTCTGCTGCTGTGTGAACAACAAACGACTTACATATACAGCACACCTCATGATTATTGGCACCACTGCTAAAGATGTGTAAAAATAAGTCATCCTTGCTTCTATGTACATTTATTGAGTGGCAAAGATTTCTCACATTAATAATTTTTTTTAGGTCACTAAGACCACAATCATTGCCCCCTCACATTGTTTTGCTTGAAAAACAGCAGAAAAACAGCAGAAAGACCCAAAGGCTATCGATTTTCATCTTTCACCGGTCAATAACTTTTTATTTAACATTTCCTAGCTCTTAGGGCCTTTCATTGTGGAACAGTACAACCTCAGTATCCTCAGATTTCTCACCACACTTAACAGGCATGACGCAGTTTTCCTTCATTATGCCATGCCAGACCCACCTGGAGTGTTTGTTGTCAAAAACCATCTTGTTTCATCTGACCAAACTATGCCATTCTGATTAATGTCCCTATACAGTTTAGCTAAGCTAACACATTTGTCTTTGAGTATTTGAATTTCCACCACAGCTCTTAAACAACTAGTATGAATGTGGATAGTTTCTATTGAAGCCCAGTAAACTTAAAATGCTCTTATTCTCAGTGAGCATAGATACATTTTTTTTTCTTTTCTTTTTTTTTTTTACCTATCTTGTCATTTTTCTCACTGTTGTGATGAGGAGGCAAGATAAAACTCAGTGGCAAGTGCCTAAGAGAAATATCCCTGTGTGTCACATCATATTTACAGCAAAATGAAACAGAAGGTCACTGAATTACTCATTTAATATCCCTGGAAGCTTTGATCAACTGAAAATGCTAAAGTATATGTCACAATATATTACAGTTTTTCTCCATATTATATATATATGATCTATTTATAAATTGAAACAAGAAAGCATGCAGTGTGTCTTTGTGTTAAAAGAAAATAAGTTATAACAACATATAGAATATTGATATTTTTAGATAAGAATTAAATTTTAATAGATTGGGTGTCTTTTCATTCTGTACAATTCAGACTTCCAGCACAAGTCCAACAACTCCTGCCATCTACAGAAATACTCAGACGACTCTGCAGTTGTCGAGTGTATCAGAGATGGACAAGAGGCTGAGTACGGAGACACAATGACACAAAGCGGTGTAGCGCTTTGTGTCATGGTAACAATCATCATAACACGGGAACAATCACCTCATCTTAAATGCAAACAAAAAAAGGAGATGATTGTAGATTTTAGGAGAAACAAGATTCGATCAAACTCTATACCTATCAGACTGGACTGGAGACGCAACAGTGAAGCTGTGTATAAGAAGGGACAGATCAGACTGTACTTCTTGAGAAAGCTAAGATCATTCAAGATTTGCAGCAAGATGCTGCTGATCTTCTATGAGTCTGTTGTTCAGAACATCATCTCTTTGCCATCACGTGTTGGAATAGCAGCATTAGAGCCAGGGAATTAAAAAGGCTGTTTCTGTTCTGGTTCTGCTGTGGGGAGAGCTGTGCAACCTCTAGAGATGACAATGCAAAGAGGAATTCTTCATAACATCAAGACAATTATGGACAACCCTGAACTTCCACTTCATGAGACTGTCTTTGGAGAACAATGTCTTCAGTCAGAGGTTTCTTCAAAATCACTGCAATATAGACTGCTACAAGAGATTTTTGCTGCCAACATCCATCACAATCTACAATAACTCTTTGAAGAATTTAAATTAATATGAGTTGCAGCAGCATTTAATTTCTTTGTAAGCAATAAATATTTATGAATTCAAGAAGACTTACAAATAGACCTTCCCTAATAGCTTCTAATAACTTTGTCTGGAAATGATTAAGAAAAGAAATTGAAAACAAATGTTTGTAAATGTACATATGATTTTAAAAAATGCAGGTTTTAGCAATGTTTACATTTTTTGTGGCATAATTGCAGTGAATTACCACAACAAAACAACACAGAGTGTTAGTAATATTTTAAGAACACATTTTTTTGGTTATTTTCCACAAATGTCAACATCCTTCAAAAGAAAATGTATCCATCCTCTTTTTGCAAAAGTTTTACTTGTTCTTCATTTTCAAACCTGAAAAATCGCATAAAATTTTCTATAGTACCATAAATTGTCTTTTTTATAAGGTTACCTAACAGTGACTTTGTACATGTTTTATTTTAGCAACAATGTCTCATTTGATTGTAAAATTTGCAGACCCCTGTACTTGATACTATTTACATGCATACCAATTGTGTAGAACTTTAGAAAAGGGCTTTTGAAATGTCAGCCAATGGGATTATTCTTGAGTATGGGAGAAGCCTTAATCCAGGATATTTTTGCACTGAAGACATTGAGTTTATACCACAGTGACTTATTTTCTCACAAACCTTGATACATGGGATAGAAAAGATAGGAAAAGAAAGTTAAACTGATTTATTCTGTTATGTGAATTGTTAATGGTGTTGTTATGAAATATTTGACTGACTGAGAAAAACATTTTTACACCATTTGGGGGAAATGTTTGAGAGCAAAATTGTCCCCCATCTGTTAATACAATAAATGCAAAGGACCAGTTGGCCTGGACATTCAAACAGCACAGCCTGCTTGAGCTATGGGACGGCCGAGGTCATCCTAGTATATGTATGAGTTGCACACTGACAAAGAGTCAACAAGATCCAAAACATTTCACACATTTCTGGCAGAGTGTGTGGAAAGCAGTCAGCTAGCAAAGCTCAAGCAGCTTATTCACAAGCTGCATATAATCTCACATATGTTACAAACTTCACTAAACTTTACCGCAGTTATATGTGAGCTGATCCACACTGCAAGGAAACTGATATGTAGAAAATCCCAAAAATATTGAAGTGAAAATTTCAAAAGGCCATTTTGTGTCTTATACATTTTCAATCTTGTCATTGCAGGGGGAACTTGGATCAGAAGGTCAAAAGGCAATCGATGGCGAGAGGGTGAGTACTGCTATCTCCAGCAGACACATAGTCCATACACAGCACATCAACAAGCTCCACTTTATTTTGTCAGGCAATCAATTTTTTAAGGCTTTTCATTTTTTGTGTGCCATGTCCTGGAAGTAGGTATAAACAAAGCTGAGTTTTCTGTGTGGCTCTTCTGTCATATCTCAAGTAGTAAGAGTGTTCTGGACTACACTGTCCTTGTACTAGAATTAATTGATAGGTACAGAATGCAGCCATAGACTGGCATACGAATGGACTGAACTAATTTTTCAAATTACCATGAGATCATTCTGTATCATGTTAAGGTCATTCTTTATTGCATGCACTCAGATCTTGCTGCACTGATTAAACTAATGTATAGTGGTGCTTAAATATTTGTGAACCTTTTCATGAGTTTCAATATATTTACAGAAACAGCCATGTATTGCTGGAGATTTACATGTTCAGAAAGTGCAAAGATTTGATTCATTTACATAAATCAGGGATAAGGCTTCTGGTTTATATTTTTAAGAAAATATTTCAAATCTTTGTGGCAGATCCTTGTAAATATCCATAAGCAGGCACTAACTGCTGGTGGTGTTCATAGGATGAAAGTGATTGGAGATGCTGGTCAGTTTTTTTGTTTTTATTGCTACTTATATATTTATATATTTTTACAAAAAAAATAATTGTATATTTCAAAATTAAAACAAAAGATAAGCAATGGCCTCAAGGAAGGGTTCAATACCTGCCAAATGACAGAGTGCCGCTGGGCAAGGCAAGTTGTCGTCCACTTCTCCTGTGGGTTATGTGTTTGTGCATTTGTGAGTGCAGCTGGTAAATGTGGCCATAGTGTAAATGTACTGTGAGTGTTCTGTATCACTTGAAAAACCTATTCAAGTTCAGCCTGTATGATATATACCAACCAATCACCTGTAATACATGATGGGGTTGTGTTGCTGCGTTTAGAGATGTAACAATGTTGCTGTTAGGTTGCTGAGTCTTACGACCTTCATCAGTTTGAGAAATCTTTGTTTAGAAAATATTTGATAAGGGTTTAAATTGTTCTGTACTTAGAAATTTCATAAATGTGAAAGTGAATCAATTTTAAAACAATGAAGGTCGGTAGTTTGGTTGAAATACAATGAAATGTATTCCTGGAGTTTTAGGAAGTACTGCGAGAATTGCACAACATTGTCTAATACCTTTGTTTTTAATTTTTTATTAATAAAGTCAAGAGCATTTTTTTTTTAAATGGTAAAGCACTGGACATCAGAAATGATAATTATGGTAAATGTTATTTAGAATTATTTAGTTTTTGAAAATGTTCCTCTCAAGTGTTTTATGCTGGAAAAAAAAGCAAAAAAAAAAAAAAATTGTGTTTCCATTTATTGAAACTCCAAAGGAAGAGGTATAGATGGTGAGAATAGTTCCATAAAGAAATGTTTATCATAGCCATGTTACATATTAGTTAACAAAAAGCAACACTGGAAGTCAGCTGCAGAGCTGCAGTCTATCACAAAGAAAAAAAAAGAAACACAGAAGTGTACGAACATCCATCAACCACAATTCTAAAACATATGCCCAATATTGTGTAGATTATTTTTGTGCTACAGAAACCTTTCTGACCCACTGGAGCATGGGTAGCAGAATGTTGGCAAAAAACCCAGGTTCTGTGAGTAGGGGAATGGACGAGGTCAGAGCTCTTTGTCCTGCTCAGGGAGGCTGCTGCAGTCAGGGAATTGTGTTGTCCTGGGGATGTGTACTTTCTCTTCAATATTGTTTTGGCTGGTGGTAGAAGTCAGCATGGTAGGGCCTAAAAGATTTGATACATTGCTCCACATCCACACTCAAAAGCCAGAAGAAGCTTACAAATACAAATATGCTTCTATTTTTAGGTGGGCTTCATCAGCAATCTCCACTGATAATCTGAGTGAAGAACTTTTTTAATAATATGTGCTTGTTGCACCTTTGAATGGGAATACTGTAATCACTATGCATTGTTCTCACACTCAGTCTGGGTTGTCACAAAAGGTCGTATAATTTTGGTAGATTGTGTTCCTCTGTTTTTGTTGACTGTAGTGGCCTTTATTTGATAGTTGTCAGACCGGAAAGTAGCTTGTGAGACAAGGCAAAGATTTGCCGCATGTCAAGTCTGCTGGAATTGAACCTGTGACGGCTGCGTCGAGGATTAAGGCCTTCATACATGGGCCGTGCTTTACCCCGGCGCCACCACCCCAAAAATCATCTGTAGTTAAGTAAGCAATAAGTAGACCTAAAACTATATAGGTTCTTATAATTTGAGGACAAATTTACATAGATTTACAGACTCAAATTCCTAATTTCTAAAATAAAAGTCAGATGTCGTAGTTGACATTTACGGTGCATTCACACCAGCTCAAGCCTGGCTATTGCCTTCCTATGCAATTCTGCTCATTCTGGGTTTTCTCCCCTTTACTACCAAGTAAATGCACCTTTTAAAATTAGATAAATAAGGTGTGTTACGCAGCTCTGAGGCATGTAGTTGTGTGCTTTTTTGACTGCATGACTTCCAGCCCTCACCACTTGTACCAGTTTCTTGTTGCAAACCTGAGATAAAAGTAACTGGAATTGAGCAGTAAACCAATTAAGGTGAAAAAAAAAAAAAACTGAATTGGCAGTGTCTAAATTCAAGCACTGGTTTGTAGCTCAACAACCAGCATGGGCCTTTTTGGTCGAGCATAAGTACCTCCTGACATGCTGAAAAGCCAGTTGAAGTCATGTGACCATTTGCATATGAATGACAATCAGGTTTATTTACAGAGGAATCTCAAGACCACCTAACTAGAAATTAACTCCATCAAAGACTAACTGATTTGTAGTCACAAGACTACAAATCAAGACTATAATGGAAGGTTGTAAATGCGGGCAGTGCCTTTGATCACACACAGTATTTACTGATTGGAAGAGCTGATCAGTTTGAAAACCACAGAGCTCTTCACCCAGGGCTCTCCTTGACTTCATAGCAGTACATAAAATTAAAACAGATTAAATTATGTTCACTGCAGTGAGACTGAAACAGTTTGTTAGTTAACAAGAAAAACTCATAAAATAATTTGCCTAATGTGAGACTGTCTGCTGATATTTCTTTCTTTTTTTGTGTGTGTATTTTTAAGGTTGCCCTGCTTCCTTCTGCTCCCTGTGGATGCAAAGCAGAAAGTACCTGATTAGTATTCAGCTATAAACATTGAAATTGACAATCACATTTTTGCCAAGTATCTTGTCATGAGCAACAGTTCCAGGAACTCAAATAAGTTTACCTGGAGCAATAATTGTTTTTGAGCTACAAACATCCCTTAGCTTGTTGTCTTTGCTTTGGTCATGTACACGACTCACTATCTCTACTCTCCAGGTAGTCATTTTCCTGTGCCCCAGGCAACTTTGCCTCTGGCAGGTGGGTTTGGCCATCGTTTTAGATACGTGTAATGGAAGAAAAAGATTTTCTTAAATGTGTTTAGAACTGGTGACCTTTGCAAAAGCAAAACTAGCTGAACCCACAGTGAAATAGTGCTTGTATCTTATTCATCTGACAAGTGATACGAAGTGAAATGCTGACACCTTTATTTAAGCCTTTTTAGTTGGAAAATGCACTGAAATTAAATGTCAAATGTATCCTTCCATTTAGTGATTCTTCTGATTCTTAGTGATCTCCCTGATTCTTTTGTGTCTTTACCATTGCAACCACACCTTGTGATCATTAGTATTTCAACCAGTAAAAATGCACATCAAGTGTGAACATTAGAGCCTGTTAGAATCCATCCAGTAGGTTAATGTATTATCCAAATGCATTCCGTTTAGGCATTCAGAGGCCTTCAGATGTAAAATACTTCCAGATGTTGCATCCAAGTAGCTCTTTGTATCTACAGTATAGCTGACACTGATCTTATGAGGATGACTGTAATCTGATATATTGTGCTGACTGGACAGGGTGCCAGTAAATCACAGGGAAACACACAGACACACAAAATAATCAACAATACATGCATTTCTGAAGACAATTTAACTTATGAGGACCACATGTAAAAAAAAAAAAAAATAAATAAAAATCTTTTTGATTAAGCATTTGAACTAGCTTACCATCCAAATGTAGGCTGCTGCCTCCTTCACTTGAACTGTTTTAAGTTTATGCAGCAGCAGTAAGATCAATACGGTCTCCAGATTTACAGAGGTTGAGTGCATTTAATGCACAGAGCACAGCACCGCTAACTTAATTTATAATTTACATTTTAAACTTGCCATTATAATTTCACTTACAAAGACTAAATGTTTTGTTTTTTTTTTTGTTCCCACAAAAACTGCTGTGCTGACATATTTAATTACAGATTCTTCAGTGAAACCCATGAAAGTAAATCAGTTAAATTCAGGAGCACCTTCAGAGCTGTCAATAGTATTTTCATCAAAAGTCCAAGAGTTGTCTCATTAGGAGAATTGTACTCCTTCTAGTGTATAAAGTTTATCAGAAAATGTTATTAGGTTATTTTTTTATGTTTATGATAAAAAATAATGAGTTGACCTCTTAGTTGTTGTGATAATTAGGTCTAAGAATTCTACTGGATAAATGAAAAAAAGGCCAGTGCATCTTTAGTGTTGTTGTATTTTTTAGCTTAAAAAATACAATTTATTCAGATTCACCATCAATTAACTTTGTAAGAATGAACAGATGTGTTTCCAGTCTGTATAGTTTACACTTGCACTTAACACTGAAGAAATGTTGTTGCTGTCTCCAGTTTTTCTACCGCTCTTGTTTGTGGTCTTCTATCTTGAAATTCTTAAATTTAACTCCTAAATGTTAACACAAGGTAACATGGATAATAATCCATTTTGGTTGTGGTTCTTCAACTCTCAACAAGAAAGATTTTACAACGGTGCTTCTTGTTTACAAAGATATCACATATTTGCTCTAATTTAAGAATATTGATTGCACTTGAGTTGTTCATTTCTAACATCACTTTTGTTTTGAGGCTGAGCCCAAACAC